CGATTTCACCTTAAATCGAATGAAGGCTTTGCCGTTGGAATTGAACTACCACTGGTTCAACTAGAAACGCCAACTGTAGTTTCGTCCCCTATGGTATGAAGAAGATTATGTAAATAAATCCACTCCAGTCCACCAACTGCAAAGATTCAACAAGAGCATCCATCGACGTGTATGATTAAAACTAGAACATATATGCGAACGAGATTCATTCTCGCTTCCCAAAAAACCATAGTCCGAACCAAACCAGAGAAAATCTTATGTACATGAGATTACATTCTTTCGTAGATTGCATTCTTGCAAGCAATTGAAGTCCCAAATGCTTGAGTAGAAGTTATGCAATCCGAATAGCAGTTGTATTATCCTCAAACAGCTCTATAGGCAGCTGGCACTCAGACACCCATCCCACCTAGGAGGCGCCGCTGCGACACCAATTCACAACTGACTTTTGACATAGATCTGTACTCTGCCTCGGTTGAAGATTTAGAGACTTGATCCTGTTTCTTACATCTCCATGATATAAATGAGCTGCCAACCCGCACACACCTCCCAGATGTTGACATGCGCGTGTCTAAGCAGCCTACAAAGTCAGCATCGGCAAAGGCTTTAAGTGTGGGCTCTCCTATGGCGGGGAAGAAGAGGCCAATGTCCTGAGTTCCATGTAGATACCTCAAGATCCTATGAACCGCATCCAAGTGCATAGTACGTACCATCCCCATGAACTGACTCACAACATGTACCGCGTATGCAATATCTGGTCTCGTAGAGCTAAGATATCAGAGCGATCCAACTATCGTCCAGTATAAGTTCTGGTCATCTGGCAAATCCCCGCTAGCTCTACTGCATTTCAAGTTCTTTTCCATCGGAGTGGAGCATGGTTTACAGTTCTCGAACTGATATTCTACCAGCAAGTCCCTAATATACTTTCTTTGACTAACCAGAATACCATGTTTGCTCCTTTCTATTTCCAGCCCCAGGAAATATGAAGCATCCCCGAGTTCCTTGATCGAGCTTAGAGGCTTCATGAAGAGACTCGGTGAGTTCCTTAATCCTGGAATGGTCATCTCCTGAAATAATCTTATCATCCACATATAGAAGTAACACTGTAATACCATGTGCCGTACGACACATAAATAAGGAAGGATCATTTTGGCTTTGAGAGAAGCCAGCCTATACAATTGTACCTTGAAATTTCTCAAACCAAACTATAGGAGCCTGTTTGAGACCATACAAGGACCACTTCAAACGACGTACCATATTGGCATCACCTTTAGTGTAGCCAGGTGGGCGAGCCATGTAAATGGTCTCCTTAAGGTCCCCGTGTAGAAAAGTATTTTTCACGTCCAATTGCACAAGAGGTCAGCCCTTCATTGTAGAAATTGCAAGAACACATCGTACATTTTTGATCTTCACTACTGATGCAAATGTCTCCTCATAGTCGATCCCATATGCCTGACTGAATCCCTGTGCTACAACCCTTGCCTTATGACGTTCAATATTACCATCCGGCCTCATCTTCACATCATATACCCACTTACTGCCAACTACTGACATCTCAGGAGTACGAGGCACAAGTTTCCATGTCTGGTTGGCTTCTAAGGCATATGTTTCTTGCACCATTGCGGCATCCCATTCAGGAATGCCTCGCGCATGACGATTGTTGTTTGGGACAAAAATAGGATCAACGGAGTAGCCAACATAATCGTTGATACGCCGGGGTGGCTGGCCCTTTGTCACACATTCTGATCGGTGAAGTTGTTGCTGCGGAGGAGTCTCATCATGCGGCACCATTTCCTCATCTGATCCATTAGTTGTAGCGGACGAGGCGGTAGAGCTAGCGGTAGCAGAGTGCATGGGATGCATGGTATGGGACGATGAATTTGGTGATGATGGTTCCGATGAGTCACTGGATGAAGAGGAACTTGAGGAGGAAGCAGAAGATGACAAAGAATTTACCTCACTCTCACTATCCACCCCACCAGGAGACAACGAAGTTGACAAAAAAGAGGCCAGAAACTATTGAAAATAAAGTTTAATATTAAAATAACAATTAAAATTAGAACACCCTAGACACTAGCTTACGTGGGTGGCTATTGTAAAAGCTGGTTGCATTATTGTAACTAACTAAATAATGAAAATATGCAAGCCACAATCAAAGTCCGTTAAACCGACATAGGTAGGTTGGCACATTAAATATGGAAGTAACCAGAAAGTGTAATGGCGGTGGAAGAGTGGCTGAAATGTGGAAAAAATCCCAAAGTACACTAGTTTTTAAAAAAAATTCCCAAAATACATAAGTTATAAAAAAAATTCCAAAAGTACACATGTTTGGGCATCACCGTGTTTGACAAAAGCGGTGAAGTTTATCACCGCGTTTGTCAAAGACGGTGAATACTTCACCGTTTAAGACCAAAACGGTGACGTATTCACCGCTTTAACCTAAAACGGTGATATATTCACCGCGTTTGTTGGAAACGGTGAATACATCACCGTTTATGTTGACAACGGTGATTACCTTCACCGTTTTAGGTTAAAGCGGTGATATATTCCCACGTTTCCCACCCCTGGTAGGTCAAAATTAGGTCACACCTACCTATTATTCACCGTTCGAGACAAACGCGGTGATGGTGTTCACCGTGTTTGACAAAAACGGTGAATAGTAGCAAATTTCCTATAAATACCCACCCACCAGCAGAAGCAAAACTTACCACTCCCCCCTTCTTCAAATTTCAGCAACAAAAAATCGAGCATAATACACAGAACAGACATTTTTCGGTATGTTGAGACTTTTCGTATTATTGTCTAATTATGTTTTTAGTAGTTATAGTATGATTAAATTTTCCTATTATGTTGTTGTTAGTTAGTTGAATTTATGTTCGTTAGTTATAGTATGATTTAATTTTCGTATTATGTTGTTGTTAGTTAGTTGAATTTATTTTCGTTAGTTATGAGATGGACAATATAGTATGATTTAATTTTCGTATTATGTTGTTGTTAGTTTGGTTAATTTTACTGTCTTTAAGCTAATATATACTTATCCTCGATTTGTAGATATGGGTAAATTCAAGAAGTTTCATCTTAATATTCGGTGGAATGGAAGGGTGACAAACTCTAACATAGGCATTGATTATGAGGACGGCGAATCCATTATGCTGAACATTGGTTCCCGATTCAATTTTCAAGAACTCTGTGATCTTTGTGCAGAAAGGGTTTGTACGAGCGGACAGACGAGACTTGGCAGAATTACTTACCGGTATCCAGACATGAGTGCTGGCGGGGTCGTGTACCAAGAAGTTGTCATAAATGATGATGACGCGGTTACGATGATGTTACAGTTCCTAAGCGATAACCAAGTCCGGCTTGCAGAGGTGTATGTTGAGACCGAGGCGGTCGGTGAATCTCATTCTCACCAGTATTCTTATGATGATGGTTTTGCAGGAGGGTACGAATGGGGTGGTAGTTCGAGCAACTACCAAGGCGGTGGTTATACAGGAGGTTACGGGGAGGGTGGTGGTTCAATCAACTACGGTGGATCGAGTAGTGCAGGATGGGAGAAATACTCGCAACCTCCTAAACCAGCCCCATTTGTTGAGGCCGATGGTGTTCAATGGCCTGCTTGGGGGCCAGAGTGGTATGGAATCGAGAATACCATTCGATCAGGGCGTACTTCACATGAGCGAGAGGACGATGTTGGTGATCGTGGTCATGTTGATCCTTCTAGCCCGAGCTATCCATTCGAGTCGAGCGACGAGGATACTGAGGAAGATTTGAGATCAGTGAGCGAGGAGGAGGAAGATACTGATGATAACGAGGATGAGGCGGCATTTCGTGAGGCACCCACGCCATATTACACACAGGTTCCAACTCAATTTTTACATAGTCAGAATGATCCCCCCGATTATGTCCCTTTGCCAGTGTACAATCCGACGGCCAATTTGGAGGTGGGTATGGCGTTCCCATCGAAGATGCTGTGCAGGATGCGTTTACAGAAGAGGCGTTGAGGCGCAATTTCGAGTGGAAGGTAAAATATTCTGACAGTAAACAACTACATGTCATATGCAAGCATGATGCAGAGGGTTGTACGTGGCAACTGCGGGCTGCAAATATGAAGAGAAAGGGTGCTTGGGTGATTCGCAAAGCTGAGACGATCCACACATGCTCCTCTTCTATACTTTCCCAAGATCACAGGCAACTAAAGGCAAAAAAGGTTGGGAGAACTATTAAGCACCTTATAGAAGCACAACCAGATATCAAGGTGAAAGCTATCATGGCAGAGGTGAAGGATCGACATTCTTACACGATAAGGTATAAAAAGCATGGCATGGTAAGCAGAAAGCCATGGCTGAGGTGTATGGTGATTGGGAGGATTCGTATGCTTTACTCCCTAGACTTATGGGAGCAATGGAGGAGTCCAATCCTGGGACTGTTTTCGTCCCAGTATACAACAATGTATACACTGAGGATCAAGTCGAGTACAGGATAAGTTGATGTTCCATCGTCTTTTTTGGGCTTTTAAACCATGCATTGACGGATTTGGGTTCTGCATACCGGTTATTCAGGTATTTTACCAACTAGTTCCAGTTTTAAATGTTGTATTATTTGTTGTTTAGTATATTTCATACTAATTATAGTCTTAATTTTTATTCAGGTTGACGGAACTTTCCTTACTGGGAAGTACAAAGGATGTCTTCTAATTGCCACTGGCGTAGATGGAAACAGGCGGATTTTCCCCGCTTGCATTTGCATTAGTGGAGGGGGAGAACAGCTTAAGTTGGGCTTGGTTCTTTGACCAACTGCACGAGCACGTGACACAGCGGGAAGATATTACGATTATATCCGATCGACATGCGGGGATAAGGAATGCTGTTGGTGGTTTTCCCGACGAGTGGGGGTGGAGATGGAGATGGTGTATTCGACACTGGCTCGCCAATTTCCAACACAAATTTGGGAAGAAGAAAGACATCAAGAATTTACTTTGGAATGCAGGTACTAATGTTTTACTTATGCGATTTAAGTTTGTGTTTATTAAGCTGATAATCAAAATTTTATTCATCATGTATTGACCAGTTAGTCTTTTGTTCACCTTTTAGCGGTTGCACATCAACCAAAAAAGTACGAGGAGAAGATGAAAACGATCCGTCATACCCACCGAGCTGGAGCAGTATGGGCTGAAGGTCAAGAGTTGCCCATGTGGACGTTCCATATGGACAACGGGGCCAGATGGGGCATTGCAACTACCAACCATGGAGAAAGTATAAATAATGTGTACAAGGGTCTTCGAGCGATGCCTATTTCTGTCATCGTGGAGATGTCTTACTGGAAGGTCAACGAATGGCGAGTTGCTCGGCTACAGCTAGCAATAGGGAGGGAGTTGCAAGGTCATTCAATAGCACATGACGTATTCGCTCAAATGCAGAAGAACGATGAAAAATCAAGTAAGCATAAGGTTGTTCTTTTTGACCGCAGTGAAGGAATATTCGCTGTCGAAACAGGTATATGGGGTGGAGGGAGACGTGGTCACAATCGTCAAACGGTTAAATTGCACTACGAATTAGGGGAGTGTTCTTGTCAAAAGTATCAGAACGAAAGGATACCCTGTTCACATGCAATGGCGGTTGCTAAGTCAATAACCATGAACAGAAACAGCCTGGTGAGTCCTTACTACACTGAGCAAGCGATACGGAACTCATATAATGCAGCTTTGAGCCCCATGCCAGATGAAGCGTATTGGCCTATATACACTGGAAAGTTGATTATCCCACCGTTGCACCTAAAACGCACCAAAGGTCGTCCTAGAGTTGAAAGGATACACAATGAGATGGATCAAGTTGAACGGACGAGAAGGGGTCCGAAGCGATGCTCTAAGTGCAGACAACCTGGTCACGACAAGAGGCGTTGCCCAGGACAACCATCAACTTAATTTGCATTTACTTGTATTCTGCTACTAAATTGATCGCTTGTTTAATTTTTCATTACCGTTTGCATCTGAATTCTGAGTATTTTGTTGTTTCTAAAATGTTGTCCTTGTCGATACGATCGCGCTACCGCAAACGGCTCGTTATTTCGACCACAAACGAATAAGATACGCGCGTTTTAGTTTTTAGTACGCAAAAGTTACTTTAACGTTACGATCGCGCTTTGACGTCACTGATCTCACTCGTTTGGAATCGGAATTGGGATCTGTAAAATTCTATGCGATTGTGGTTGATTTTCCCAACTTTTTCGTGTTGAGGGAAGATACTGATTCTTGATAAAATGATACAGAAAATTCATTCGATAACTTAAGTGCGTAGGATAGTTTTTAGACAATGCAAACTCAAATAACACCTAAAAAGCAAAAAAACAACATTAATAGTTCACTACAATGATAAAACGATAAATTCACTCATTTGCTTCATTTTGGCCCCCATCTCCACCTCTTCCTCCTCGTCCTCCACGACGTCCTCGACCCCTTCTTCCCCCTTCCGCCGCTGCTTCTTGGCGGGCTCGCTCAACGGCTTGTCGCGGGTTTCTCTTGACCCGAGCCCCAACTGGGGTTACATATGGTGGTGGTGGTGGCTGAGATGGAGCGGTAGCTTGGCGAATGATCGGAGGTTACGGAGTTTGTTGTTGCGGGGTCTGATACATCGAACTCTGTTGCTGATGTTGGAATTGAGAGAACCCATGAGAGAAAGTGTCCCACTCCTGAGATGCTCCACGACTCGATGACCCTCCACCGGCTTCCGCTGTAGGTGCCCACTGGTACTCGAACGGTTCAGGGATCTCGGTTTCTTGAGTTGTACGCACCTCATCGAATGTAGGTAGAGGCCTGCGTTTGCTCCTTCGTGGGGGCTCAACCGGGGGCACAATGGGTGCATCATCACGGAATGAGGGTCGTGCCGGGGCAGGAACGGGAGGATATGCCACGACATCCCTCCTTTGCTCTCTTGTACAACTCAGGAGGTTGTTCATAAGTCGGGTCAACCAATTAGTCTTCCGCTCATCCATGGTTGGAGCACTCTCGAGGGTGTACTTGGCATGTTCCAAACCATCAACCTAAGGAAAGCACTTATCTTATCAAATTAACTAAACCTTAAAATAAATAGATTTTTGAATGAGGGAGATTAGGATGACTTACCAACGACCCCATCACAGCACCTTGCTTTGACACCCATCTCATGGTGAACTTCCGATACCACTGCATGTATCCATCGTGGTAGCCCATCGGTCTCGTCTCCGGCATCCCTTGCACCACCCATTGGGACCGATTCTCCCAGATGTTGATGTAGAATCCATGCTTTAGCACCCAGTTCTTTGCAGTGTGTCGGAGGTCAATAGCATGTAGCTCCCTGAAACCGGCTGGCGGGTCTTGTGGAATGGGTTGCTCCATTCGATATTGCCTCAAAGATCGATCGGGTAGGTGCCATTCCACCATGTGCCAGCAGATCAATGGCACTTTGCACAACCACGTCTCGTGATCCAGAGGGTGCCTAAGATGATGCAGCTCACCCACTTCACGTGGATATGGATCCCATATAACCTATATTCATTAAAAAATTCGGAATTAATGACCATTTACATTGACAAAATTTAACTTGTTCAAATATGGACAAAATATGATTACCTGATTCCACCATGGTTTATCTAACTCAGAACGATAAAACAATAACGAATGCTCAGGTTGATGGTCATTCGTATTTGCTCCTATCCACCTTGTAAGTAAAAGTACGGATTCAATTTAGTTGAAATATAGCTAAGCATATAATAAATTAAATTGGTCTAAGTACGTAATAAATAAAATTAAAATCTAGCTAAGCATGCAATCAAAATTAAATTGGGCTAAGTACGGAATAAATTCAATTTAAATCTAGTTAAGCATGCAATCAAAATTACAGAATAAATTCAATTTAAATCTAGCTAAGTACACAATCAAAATTAAATTGGGCTCAGTACGAAATAAACTTACTTGACACCGTAGGGGAGATTTTGCAGAAAGTTGAGTTCATCATCGTTTCTCCGGTATGGACGTGGGTCGGCAGGTGCGAACATCGGTAGATGCTCCCATACCCACAGTTGCAGGATGAACATCGCAGCACCAGCTTGCTTTGCCCCAACCTTCGAGCAAGTACACAGCTCCCGGTATACGCCCGCTAGCACGGCCGATCCCCAACTCTTCTCTCCAATTGCATCCCAGTCACCAGTGAGCAATGGCAACCATATGCCTTGAATCCACCGGTTGGACTTGTCGGGGAACAAAAATCCACCCACCAAACCGATGAGGTAGATGCGGGCGTAGCGCTCGACTTGTTCTTCCGGTGTCTCGTCATTGATTTCCACCTCTTGCTGGATGTGAGATACCAGCCACGGGACCGACACTTGCCCCGCATTCAACGGTGGATGCCCCCGTCCTTGAATTGGTGTGGTGGTCGGCATGTCGAAGCCCAAACGATCACGTATGAGCGGCCCCCAACCTCCTTCGGGTTTGGTCGTGGAACCAATGACTGCATCTCCAGAAATAGGAAGCCCGGTGAGGATCGCCACGTCTTTGAGGGTGATCGTCATTTCCCCCTCCGGAAGGTGGAATGTATGGGTTTCGGGACGCCATCGTTCCGCCATTGCCGTAAGCAGATCGTTGTCGATCTCGATCCGCAAGAAATGGCGCAACATTCCCAAACCGGTCCTCGCTATGTAGGGCTCCAACCTTGGATGCCAAGCGGGCAAGTTATTGGTCCCTTTATGAACCACGGGAACAAGCGATTCCTAAAACAAATAGGAAAAATAACAATTTATTAGATTAAATAAAGCAAAATAAAACCTTAGAAAATAATAAAATAAAGCAAGAATACTCAAAAAATTACCGGATAGTTATCCCAAATAGCACGAGAGCGATGAGCTTCTTGATCGGTTAAGAGACTCGCATCCCTTGGGCCATAATGGATATACAATCGAGGATCGTATATCTCGGCACCCATCTATAAAAAAGTAATGAAATCAGAGATTGTTTTGATAAAAAAAAAACAAAAAATCAAATTGTTTCAATTAAAAAAAATTCATAAACCAAAAACCTACACGAAGAGCCTCTTCGTCCATTTTTTGGCGTAGGCCGGACAGAGGTTCGACGATTTTAGGTTTGTAAGGGACGGGAACTTGGCGGGACGGGGGCTTTAGGGTCAAACTCTAGTAATTCTTTCTGATGTGGAAGATCGGACTTAGCCGCAACCACAGAGCATACTTAGAACGAGACTAGAGCGGATAAATTGAGGGAGAAAGAAGTGAATTGTTTGTGGGGTGAGTTGAAAGTGAAAGGGGAAGGGGGTATTTATAGTTGGGGGAAGGGGGGAGGAGCCTGCGCAGCATTCAATTGGAGGGCTTTCACCGCGTTAGTCAAACGCGGTGAACTCACCGCTGTCAACAAACGCGGTGTATATCTAGGGGACGTGGCGTGTTGTGAGGCGTCGGATCGTGGGAAGAAAACCAAGATCCGCGCCTCACCGCATCCAACGGCCACGGTGATAGCAAATTGGCCCGGATTGCTGACGTAAACAAACACGGGGTATTCACCGTGTTTGTCTAACGCGGTGAATACCCCGCGTTTGTCCACGTCAGCTCCTTCACCGCGTTTAATAAAAACGGTGAAGTCTTCACCGTTTCTGTTTAAAACGGTGAAGCCTTCACCGTTTTTATTAAAAGCGGTGAAGGCATCACCGTTTTTATTTAAAACGGTGAAATGTTCACCGTTTTTATCAAACGCGGTGAATACCTTCACTGCGTTTGTCAAAAACGGTGAATGCCAAACATGTGTACTTTGGGAATTTTTTTTATAACTTATGTATTTTGGGAATTTTTTTTAATAACGTGTGTACAGTGGGATTTTTTCCCTGAAATGTAGTATAAATATAGGGTCTGGAGATGTATCCAAAGCAGTAGAGCCAAGAAGAAAAGAAAAAGACAATAAAAGAATCCTCCATTCCTAAAACCCTCTCCCAATTCTCTTCTCCAAACAAAATCCCCAACTTTCAATTCTTATAGCTCAACCAACGAGCTCATCCAAAAGCCCACCATTAACTTTGAGTTAAAAGAAAATAATTAATTTATTTCCAACAAAGTGGTATCAGAGCCTGAGTTATTTCTGAGTATGCTCAGTGGTTGCAGCGTAGTCTGAACTTCCACATTAGAAAAGAATTTCTCGTGTTTTTGTTATCACGATTGTCCCATGGCCGAAAAATCTAGTTTCCCCATTCAATTCCCCCACCTTACCAAAACCAATTACAAAAATTGGTGTATCCGTGTGAGAGCCTTGCTGGGATCCCAAGATGCTTGGGATATTGTTGAGAAAGGTTACGAGATTCCCATTGAGGATTCTCGGTTATCTCCTGCTGAAAAGGAGGTATTGAGAAAAAATAGAAAGAGTGATCAAAAGACACTCACTCTAATTCATCAATGTCTTGATGAATCGATGTTTGATAAAATAGCAGATGCTACCACAGCAAAGGAAGCATGGGAGATTCTGCAAAAGGAAATCCAAGGCGTGGAACCAGTAAAGAAGGTTCGACTTCAGACACTCAGGGGAGATTTTGAAGCCATGAAAATGAAGGAAGATGAATCTGTTTCAGATTACACCGTCCGTGTGAAGTCTATCGCCAGCAAACTGAAGCAGTATGGGGAGTAAATTGAAGAGACCAAAGTGGTGGAGAAAATTCTACGGTCATTATTACCAAAATTCGATTATGTGGTGGTGGCCATGGAGGAAGCTAAGGACGTGTCAAAAATGATGTTTGATGAAGTCATCGGTTCATTACAAGCCAGAGAAGAAAGACTAAATAAAAGAAATGAAGAATCGTCAGAACAAGTGTTAGCTACAAAAGCTACCACTGAAGAGAAAGAAGGTGCCCGAGGAGGAGGTCAGTACAGAGGTCGAGGCAGAGGCAGAGGAAGAGGCAGAGTTCGAGGAGCATATCAAAGCAGAGACGGAGGAAATTTCACCACGAACTATGAAACGTCCACTAGAGGCAGAGGTCGTGGTCGTGGATGTGGAAGAGGAAGTTGGAGATTAAATGAAGGTCGTGATAAATCCAACGTCCAGTGCTATAATTCCTCGAAGTACGGGCATTGTGCATCGGAATGTTGGAGCCCGCCTAAAGAAGTGGAGGAGACAGCAAACAACGTGCAGGAAGAAAAGGTCGAAGGCACTTTGATGCTTTCACATCAAGGAGATGAGAAACCGAAAGACAACATGTGGTATCTAGATAATGCAACAAGCAATCACATGTGTGGAAAAAGAAACATGATCGTGGATATGGATGAATCAGTGAAAGGAAATGTCGTATTTGGAGACTCCTCGAAGGTTCCTATCAAAGGGAGAGGAACAATACTCATCCGGCTCAAGAATGGCTCACGACAATTTATCAGTGATGTGTACTATGTCCCGGACATGACTAGTAACATCCTGAGTTTGGGTCAGCTGATGGAGAAAAATTATGAAGTCCACATGGTGAATCGTCAATTGGAGCTGCTAAATGAGAAAAAGCAGTTGTTGGCCAGAGTTCCAATGTCAAGAAACAGAATGTTTACGCTGAGCATTCAGACTAAAATGGCGAAGTGTTTGAAAGCATGTGTGAAAGACACAACATGGTTATGGCATCTAAGGTATGGCCATCTAAATTTTGGAGGCCTGAAGTTGCTCGGTCAGAAGAAGATGGTGCATCGTCTGCCAGTGATCAATCATCCAGACCAGTTGTGTGAAGGATGCTTAGTTGGAGAGCAATTCAGGGCAAGTTTCCCGAAGGAGTCCCTATCAAGAGGTAAAGCACCACTTGAACTGGTCCATGCTGATCTCTGTGGTCCGATCACTCCAACATCATTTGGCAAGAACAAATACTTCCTATTGTTCATTGATGACTACAGTAGAAAGACATGGGTATAATTTTTGAAGCAGAAGTCAGACACATTTGAAGCTTTCAAAAAGTTTAAGATGCTCGTGGAAAATGAAAGTGGCCTCTACATTAAAGCCATGAGATAAGATAGAGGTGGAGAATTTATGCTCAAGAAGTTCAGAAGGTTCTGTGAATATCAAGGAATTCGCAGGTTTCTCTCAGTCCCAAGGTCCCCACAGCATAATGGAGTTGTTGAGAGGAAGAATCGAACTGTACTCAACATGGCGAGAAGCATGATGAAGAGCAAGAACCTGCCAAAGGAGCTATGGGCTGAAGCTGTTGATTGTGCAGTCTACCCGCTGAACAGGTCACCAACAAAGAGTGTTTGGAATCAAACACCCCAATAAGCATGGAGCGGAAGGAAACCCACAATCTTTCACCTCCGAGTCTTCGGAAGTGTCGGATATTTGCACGTACCTGATCAAGAAAGGAAGAAGTTGGATGACAAAAGCAAGAAGTACATATTCTTGGGATACTCAGAACACTCAAAAGGTTACAAAATGTTTGATCCCGTGGAAGAGAAGTTGATCATCAGCAGAGACGTGGTAGTTGATGAAGAAGCAACATGGGACTGGACTGCTGATGCAAAGAAGAGTTATACTTTTTATCCATTCACTATGGATGAAAGTGATAATGAACCACACAGCTACACCTGTGACAAGTCCACCCAGTCACAGAGAACCTGCCAGTCCAGAAGGAGAATCAAGTGAAAGTCCTCGAGAAAGACCACAAAAATATAGAAGACTTGATGAAATTTATGAGGAAACTACAGCCATTGAAGGTGATGAATTGATACTTTACTGCCATTTCATTGATAGTGAACTAGTGGATGTTGAAGAAGCCATGAAGGATGAAAAATGGAAGAAAGTTATGGATGAAGAAATTGGAGCAATTGAGAAGAACAACACTTGGGAGCTTGTGTCACTCCCTGAGAACCAAAAATCCATCTGTGTGAAGTGGGTATTTAAAGCGAAGAAGAACGCAAAAGGAGAAGTCGTCAGGCATAAAGCAAGATTGGTGGCTAAAGGATATAGTCAGAGACCAGGCATTGACTACAATTAAGTATTTGCTCTCGTGGCGAGAATGGAGAGTATCAGGATGGTGATATCTCTCGCTGCTCAAAATGGATGGAAGATACATCAGATGGATGAGAAGTCAGCTTTTCTGAATGGATATCTCGAGGAAGATATCTATGTGGAGCAACCCCCTGGATATGTCGTTGAAGGTCAAGAAGATAAGGTGTTAAAGCTGAAGAAAGCATTGCATGGTCTGAAACAAGCACCAAGAGCTTGGAATAGCAGGATTGACAAGTACTTTCAGCAGAATGGATTCAGCAAATGCCCACATGAGCATGACTTATGATGCAAGGTGCAAGGGGGAGCAATATTGATAGTTTGTCTATATGTAGACGATCCCGTCTTCACAGGCAACGATCCTAAGATGTTTGAAGAGTTCCAGAAGACGATGGTTCGAGAATATGAGATGACTGACATTGGATTAATATCATACTATCTTGGAATTGAAGTAACTCAAAAGGAGGAAGGAATTTTTATCTCACAGAGTGGCTTCGCCAAGGAGGTCTTGAAGAAGTTTATGATGGAAAACTGTAATCCTATGAGCACACAAGCAGAGTGCGGACTAAAGTTATCCAAGGATGATAAAGAAGAGAAGGTCAACTCAACGGAGTTTAGAAGCCTTATCGGAAGCTTGAGATATCTGACTTGTACCAGACCAGATATTCTCTATACAGTTGGATTAGTCAGCAGATACATGGAGACACCAACTACGTCACAATGGAATGCTGCAAAGAGGATACTGCGCTACATTAAAGGTACAATCGATCATGGTCTACTTTATACTAAGTCAGAAAATTTCACATTGGTTGGATACTGCGATAGTGATATGGCAGGAGACCCCGATGATCGCAAGAGCACTACATGATTTGTATTTTTCCTGGGATATACAGCTTTCACATGGAGTTCAAAGAAGCAAGCTATCGTGACACTGTCAACTTGTGAAGCTGAGTATGTTGCTGCGACATCGTGTGCGTGTCACGCGATATGGTTAAGAAAGTTGCTAAAGGAATTGAACATGACACAGTAAGAGTCAACTGAGATTTATGTTGATAATAAGTCTGCTCTGGCGTTAACAAAGAATCCGGTGTTTCATGATCGCAGTAAGCATATTGATACAAGATATCATTTCTTAAGAGAATGTGTGGAGCACAAAGAAGTGATGCTGAAATATGTGAAAACTGAAGACCAGATTGCTGATATTTTCACGAAGTCGCTGAAGCAAGACGTGTTCGTTAAACTTTAAGGGGGAGTGTTGAAAATAAAGTTTAATATTAAAATAACAATTAAAATAAGAACACCCTAGAAACTAGCTTACGTGGGTGGCTATTGTAAAAGCTGGTTGCATTATTGTAACTAACTAAATAATGAAAATATGTAAGCCACAATCAAAGTCGGTTAAACCGACATAGGTAGGTTGGCACATTAAATATGGAAGTAACCAGAAAGTGTAATTGCGGTGGAAGAGTGGCTGAAATGTAGTATAAATAGGGGGCTTGCTATTTGCCGCCAAACAAATTGCTATTTGCCGCCAACTAAAAAAAAAAAATCTTGTGGCCGGTGCGCCGCCGGACCGAAACTTTTTTGCGGCCGGCGCGACGCCCGGCCGAAATATTTTTTCGGCCCGTCGTCGCTCCGGCCGCAAATTTTTTTCGGCCGGTCGCCGAACGCGCCGCCGTGAATTTTTCCGGCGGCGCGTTCGGCGACCGGCCGCAAATTTTTTTCTGCCCACCGTGTTTTTTCGCCGGAAAACTGAAAAAATTGCCGGAAAATTGAAAAACTTGCCGGAAAAAGTAAACTTACTTGTTTTCCGACGATTGAGGACGACGGGAGGTTGACGCACCTGCTTAGTGATGATTCATGGATCCGTGTCCGCAGTTTACGTCGAGGATGGGCTTTCCCGATGGTTTTCCGGCGACTTTTCCGGCGAGCGTCGATTTTTTCTGATTCAATACGTTTTCTTAAAGTTGGATATGTTGTAGATTGTGAAATTTCTTAACCAAAGATGTACATATATACTTTTTTTTTTTTTTGGTTGGCGGCAAATAGCAATTTGGTTGGCGGCAAATAGCCGTTCACATAAATAGAGGGTCTTGAGATGTATCCGAAGCAGTGGAGCCAAAGAAAAAGACAATAAAAGAAGCCTCCATTCCTAAAACCCTCTGCCAATTCTCTTCTCCAAACAAAATCCCCAACTTTTAATTCTTTAGCTCAACCAACGAGCTCACCCAAAAGCCCACCATTAACTTTGAGTTAAAAGGAAATAATTAATTTTATTTCCAACAGAAACGCCAGGCTTTGTTCAAAGGCAGCCCGGTCCGAAGACGTCTTCAGGGAATAGAACGGAACATGTTCCATGAACAGGACATGGCATGCAACCCGGAGCCGCCGACGAACACACAATGAACTGTCTTTAGCGCCAGTTTGTTGCGTTCTCGACATGGTAAAAGTATAAAGAAAAGGCAGCTAAACACCCGAAGACGGTCATAACGAGGATGACGATCATAGAGTTTATAAAATGGAGAAACACCATCCAGGACTGGAGTGAACTACTGATTGATAAGATGAACAACATTGTAAGCGGCCTCTACCCAGAGGTGGGCAGGAACACCAGATCTAAACAGGAGAGAGAGGGTGCGTTCCATAACGTGGTGATTTTTTCTCTCCACCACCCCATTCTGTTCCGACACCCCAAGATAGGACTGTTGAGAGATAATACCGGCCGAGCTATAGAACTGAAGGAGCTCATTAGAACTAAAATCTCCCCCCAGATCAGAACGATGCCTTTGACTGTCTTCTGAAACTGAGTTTGAATCATCTTAACAAATGCCTGAGCATGATCATGGAGCTTGGACTTGTTCTTAAGAAAGCATATCCACGTATAGCTGCAATATTACTGATCAACGAAGAGAGCAAAATACAAGAAACATGAGTACAGATCTTAGAAACAGGATCATGTTTCTTACATCTCCAATAACTCGAGTTGTTGGGAGAGATTCAATCGTGGATCATATACCGTTTACTAACACCCCCTTCAAACTCAAGTCGTTCAGATAGGCTTGGAGTTTGGACAGGCACAGGTCCCGACACTGTGTGCTTAACAGAAACAGATGGGGATCACCGAGAATCGAACAGAAGACCTCACGGTCCCAGAAGGCTCTGATACCATGATAAGAACTCAAAGTAAAGAACGTGAACACAGGAATTACGTGGTTTCCCTTAAAATCTGGACTAGTCCACGGGAGAGGTAGACCTCTCCAGAGTCAATCTTATTCAGCTTAGTTTTCACGATACAAGATGAGGTATATATATATATATGGGGAGTTCTACGGTACCCAAGGTGAAATCCGGGGTACCGCATACCTTGAGTAAGAAAACGATATCCAGAACTTGAATTGACTGATCTTTCGGACATGATACTATACTCTAACCCTTAAAGATCAAAATCTAGGTCTTAATTCTATAAATCTTATACCCCAAGATCAATTTAATTAGAAACAATAATCGACGGTTATGATTCGTCCAAATATAGGCAAAAAATCAATGCACCGTCTTAGGGTTTATAGTTTATGATTTAGATAATTAGGACCTAGGGTTCACTCATTAAAGGTTAGGGTATATTATCATGCCCAAAAATCCTGCTAATTCGAGGTCTAGATAGCGTTTTCATACTCAAGGTATGCTGTAACCCGAATTTCACCCGGGGTACCGTAGAATGCACCATATATATATATATATATATATATATATATATATGTTACAGCTAACGTATACATGTAGTCCTACCTACTTTAGGTTAACTTACATTAAAGGATAGTTACTATAAGCTACCCAAAATAAGTAATTATAACAATTTCAACATCTGCAACCCATAGTTTCTGTGGCCAATTATTCGAGCAGCCATATCTGTTCCTCCAAAACATGCTTCACACGTCTCTGAATTACAACGAAGCCCTGACAGAAGATAAAAGTTACCTAAAACTCTTCTAATGCACACAAAAGTTTAACCAGAACACTCAGTGCATATTAGCACATTATCCGCAAAACAAAACCCACATGTTTACCTTGCGAACGGAAAGGAAGTATAGAAATCAAGCAACAAACTAAATACTTCAATAGCAATCCTCCTAACAAAACAATAAAGAGATTCTAGCCCGCAACATCTTTACTTTCTGTTTTAATGCACTCTGCGCAGTTCACGGGAGGCTATATTGATAAAATGGCACTATCTCCTGTCCGCCGCATGTCTCTTCCCGTCCTTCCCGTCCACCTCCTCTGTCGCTACTGCAAACTTGAACGCCCTCTGTCGCTGTTGGCTCCGTCCTCAGGCCAGATTGGGTTGTCGGACGGACCAAAACTCACCGCCTCTCTCGCTGGCGGCCGGAATTTCACATGCCGGCGGATTTTTCAAATCGCCTCCCTTTCAGTCTTCCAACCCAGAAATCCCAGCGCTTCTCTCTTGCTATCTCTCCCAAACGAACCACAACTTCCAGCCGCCGAACTCAATCTGCCCGAAATCCCCTATCGTCGTCTGCCCAAACAACCACCCCGCGACGCCATCGCGATAAACTATACATTTCTCCTCCGTAAGTTTCCTCTACTAGGTTGGTTTCTATTTGGCCTTTGCGAAGCCTGTATGTGTGATGTCCCCTTCCTTTTTCTTTCCAATGGGCAATGTAACCAATTGCTAACTATTTAGTTGATATCACATGTGTTGCAGCCCTCCCACCACCGGATCAGTTCTTTTGTTTCTTTTTACCGATTCTAGCTTTATTATGGTGAGTGTCATGTGTAATTCTTGACAGCCTGTATCTATGCAGCTTTTTGGGAAGAATCAAGTTATTTTGTTTGAGGATATAGATCTTGATAAAAGTTACTACCTCCCTGGACATCTAAGAATGATTTTGCATCAAACATATGGCCATTACCATTTTTTTTCATGGCCAAAATATCTATGCTAAAAGACTCATCAGTTCTGATATTTGTAAGCACCTATTTGTGCCTGTTTCTGTATTCAAATGGTTGTGAATGGACCATCTTTGAATCTTTCTGGACGAATGGATACTCATTTTGTTCTCAGTTTCATGTTTTCGTCGGATTGTATGTCATATATGCACTGTGTTTTTGTAGCTTCAAATTGTAATCAATTGTAATCTAATTAATCAGAGACACCACCAGTCCACCACTTGAAGACAACAAGAGCAGCACTCGAGCGCAACTGCTCCACCTGTCCACCAGTCTTTCTTCCACCACTCGAGCGCAACTGCTCCACCAGTGCACCAGTCAAACTGTAATCCTTTTTCTTTTGTGAATTATGAACTCCTATAACTCAAATTACACATATACTTGCTTGCATTGGCTGCTGAAGGCGAATCTCATGTTCTTTTATGTTCTTTCTTAATCATGCCTCTCTCTATCTCATTATTTGTGCATTATTACTATCCCTTCTCCGTAAGTGGTTGTCAAGTTTTCCTTTAACATTCGTCTTGCTCATTATTTGTGCATTAAGGCAAATCTCATGTTCTTTTTTGAAGTTCTATGCCTCGAAGAAGAAGTTTTTCCCATGGAAAGTCATCGACAGTCTCAAATAATGAGTCAATTCGACCATTAAAAATTGAATGGAAGTACAAATATTGGTCTTAGCATAATTATATAGATTTGCAATTAATATGTTTCATTTCACATGTTATTCAGGGTATAAGAGAGCTTTTTTTTACCACTGGAAGGTGTAGTGGATTCTAATCAGTCTCTATCTGAAGCACAAGATAAAATTTCCGATGATATAATTATCTATTAAACATTTTTTGCCATAACAAAGTATCAATGAATTAAGAACTGATATAATATCTTTAACTATTTCACTATGGTTGAACTTACAAAATCATTACTTTTCAATGTAAATTTTAGAAATGGGTTATAGGTATAATCAAAGCAGTCGAAATTGGGATTTTACCTAAAATCGAAAACTAGGGTAAAATCGGAATCCTAAAATCGAATTGTAGAATCGTAGGATTTTAAGTACCATATAGAAATTAACATATAATAATATTAATAAGATAAATTATTAATAAGACAAAGACATATAACATCTAAATTGATAATTTTCAAGATTAATGTTCCAGAATCATCATTTTAATTATTATTTAATGTGTAACTCAAAATATTTATTATGAGAAAGGGATAGAGCTCATGGGGGTTTGACTCTTGTTTTCATGTTGTGTTTAGGTAGTTTAACTCAAAGTAGTATTCCGACATCATCTACTAAGCATGATTTAAAACTAAGAATAAGTGAACTCCAATAAAATAATTAATGTCATTGATTTGGTACAAATATATTCATTAATCAATTAATTTATTAATAATAATGTTAATTCTTACGTATTTATAATATTATTACAACGGTTTTACCCATGAGTTAAACAAGGGGAATTGAAAGTGGTTGACCGAACCCTAATTTGATTATTTTCCCTTTTCAAATGTTCTTTTAATTGGAAAAATATCTGACAAGATCTCGGTCATTAGCCTTTCCGCCGAAACAGTTTTGCTTCTTTTGAATTGTCTCAAACCACATATTTTGTTCACATAGGATCAAAATCCCGATTTTGCTACGATTTTACGATTTTTAACAATTTTAAACCCGATTTTGAACGATTTTAAAGTCCACCAATTTTATAGTAAAATTAGATTGGAATCCCTAAGTAAAATCCTACGATTTTACAATCAAAATCCCGATTTTGACTGCATTGGGTAATATGCCCCTCTATTATGACGTTTTGACAAACATGCCCCTCTACTATTTTTTACATCAAACATGCCCCTGTACTTTGAAAAACTTATCAAACATGCCCTTTTGTTAAAATTTCCATCCAAAAACCGTTAACCAAGACCGAACTTTGGTTTGGGCGACCCAAATATCTAATATATCTCTAATAATTTCACTTTAGAGTTTTTTTTTTGTTCTTTTGTATTGCCAAATAATTATAATAATTTCACTTTGATGAGACCTAGAAAAATAAAGCAAGGTCAAAACTGACATTTCCCCTCCTATTTATCGATGTCAGGTCGTCTAAATCTTGGTTCAACCATGATTGACAATTTTTTTCAATGGAAATTTCAACTGGAGGGCATGTTTGATAGTTTTTCCAAATTACAGGAGCATGTTTGATGTAAAAAATAGTAGAGGGGAATGTTTGATAAAACGTCATAGTAGAGGGGCATATTATACCTATAACCCTTTAGAACTTCATGCACATAAGTCAGAACTGAAGAGAATTAATCATCCGTTGACCAAATTAGCAAGAAGAAAACGTGCTATTTATATAAGGCAGAAGCGTATATATGGCAGAATGGTGAACATTCCTACCGGTAATCCATTTGTTCAATGTTTTTTTTCGATTTATTTGTTATCAGTTTAATGTGTTAGCTGCTGTGATTAATTTTTTTAACTAATTCCTATACAGGGCTGCAAAGTGAGATGGATAAGTTACAATCTAAGAGAAATAGATTATTGAGATCTATCAAAATTAGCTGAAAATCGTTATAATCATCTTCGATTGATGCGTTCTGGTGACTTTCCAGGTTTTTTAATATTTTTGTTATTTCATTTCCCTTTATTTATTGCATTCATAGAGTTTGTTGCTAATTTAATTTCTTAAATTTGAGTTTTCATTTTATTGCTCCTCGCAAATCTCAATAGAATCGGATACCATTATAAGGATTGGTTAAATTATGAATAACCCAACCCATCGTGATACAAGTGAACAAATATTCAATCAAATACTAATTATCATCACTACTAATTCCCAAAATAGCTAGCTTCAAGATGTATACTCTAGCAGTCAATATCACATCTATTATCAATTACTTGGTACTTTGCGTAGGTTTTAGCATAAAGGCACAACTATACAATAATAATGTTTGTGTAGATTGTAACTCGGCCTGTTCTATATTTTTTAGATTTTATTTATCTTTTTTATTGTAATAATAGAGTTTGTGTCTAATTTAGTTTTTCATTTTATTGCAGTGGTTGAAGTGTTTGATATTGGAAAACCGTCATATTAATGTGCATATTGTGGAGCAATAATGTGGAACGGCGAAAGTACAAAATCAACGAGGAATTCCAATCAACCAAAGTTTTCATTGTGTTGCAGACAGGGTAAAGTGAAGCTCCCTCCTCGAAGACAACTGCCAAAGATTTTGAATATGCTATTGCAAGCAAACTCTTCAATGGGACGTCACCTTTTGGAATATATCAAAGGATATAATGGGTTCTTAGCATTCACTTCTATTGGAGGTAAACTGGATCGATCTATAAATGATGGGCCGAGGCGTCTATGTATATTCAATTGGAGGGCAAGTATATCACCGAATCGGCAGCCTGATACCTACTGAAAGGAATAGAGCCAAATTTGCTCAACTCTATATATATGATACTGCCAAGGAACTCCGATAGGTTAGACTTTTTCTCAACAGATCCAGATTCAAATCCTTTGCGCGAATCAATTATCCAACAATTACAGGAGATGCTAGATTCGAGTAATATATTGGTAAATACATTTCGATATGCAAGGCATAGATTGAATGACAGTATTGTTCGACAGGTTGAAATAAAGTTTCTTGCAAAAAGAGAAAGGGATGGTAGAGAATATGATTTGCCATTAGCAAATGAGGTCGCTGCGTTAATTGTTGATGATACTAGTGAGCAAACATCTTCTCCTGATATTGATGTCCATTATCAAAGTCATGAACGAGAATAAATTAGTATATATCATCCAAGTTTGATGGCTTTGCAATATCCCATATTATTCCCACATGGAGAAGATGGTTGGCACCCAACTATTCCATACTTTGGGGATGGGGATGAGGATGTAGATAAATACAATGAGAAGAATGTGACTCAATGTGATTTCTACAGTTATAGACTTCATACCAGACTGGAAGAATCAAATGCATTGCTATTGTGTGGAAAGCTGTTCCAACATTATGTTGTAAATGCATATGCATTGGTTGAGGCTGAGTGTTTGGATTGGATTAAAAACAACCAAACAAAGTTGCGACAACATTACTACCAAGGTCTTTTGGATTCTTACTTGAGAGGTGATTCAGATACTAGTATGACTGGAAAAACAGGTGATTTTAGCTTCATCACATACAGGTAGTCCTCGATATAAGTATGAAAGTTTCCAGGATGCTATGGCGATTTGTAGATGGGCAGGATATCCAGATCTTTTCATTACATTTATATGTAATCCTGCTTGGCCCGAGATCCAGTACATGCTTGATTTGATAAGGACTACTACTCATAAAGATCCTAATAGAGCTGATGTCTTCGCAAGAGTTTCAAGATAAAGCTACATCAATTGCTGAAAGAAATTGTGGAGAATAAAATTTTCGGGAAAACGTGTGCATGTAAATTATATTCAATAGCTTTCCTTTAAGCATCTTGAATTTTTGAATTATTCGCGCACTATAATTTATAATTTGAATTATTGTTGATATTTATTTCATTGAAGATGTAATGGCAATTGAATTCCAAAAACGTGGCCTACCTCATGCACACTTATTAGTCTTTCTAGCTCCAGAAGACAAGTTATATAGTCCTTTGGACATAGATTCTATCATATCTGAAGAAATTCCAGATCATAAAACAGATCCTAAATGTTATGAAGTAGTTTCAAACTTCATGTTTCATGGTCCATGTAGCATTCAAGGACCTAAAGCCCCATGTACAACTAATGGTGTGTGTTCTAAACATTTTCCAAAGGAATTCTGCAGCCAAACAACTATTGATAGCAATGATTTTGCAAGATATCGACGTAGGGAGAACAACAGATCTTGTATTATTAATGGGGTCTCACTAGATAATTGATTTGTTGTTCCTTATAACAGATATGTATTGCTGTGATTTCAAGCAATCATAAACGTCGTATTTGGCAACAAGTCAAGGTTAGTTCTTCATCTGATTCACCCCTTTTTTTTAAAGATCCTCATTGAATTAATCATATATACTATTTATATTAGCATGCCCCCTGTTGGTTTCTTTTCTTTTTTTCAACAGCCATTTTTTCCTTCGTTATTCATATTGTCATCATTGTACTACTATAGTAGTAGTAGGGATAGACATTCCAACTACTAGGTTGAATTAATTAAATAGAAATCAATTTGATTTAATTCAGTTTGAAGATTATATCTTTTTATCAT